TCTGCCCTGTGCAGCCAACATAAGTTGGCAAGTTCGGCATTAAAATGTCTGTCTGTGTGTGTGTGAGAGAGTAAAGCTTCGACTATTTTACCCCCCACCTTATCTTCCCTTAGTGTTACATGTACACATACGAGCACATGGGTGGCAGGCGTTGCCGCTTTTTAAGGTAATGAGCACATACAAAATGCAATTAAAAGCTTGTTGCCAAAAATGCAATTTTGCGTATCTTACTCTTTGTTTGTTGTTCGTTCTGCCATTGTTGTTGCTGCTGTTATTGTAGGTAGTTTTTGCAACCGCTTCTTTTAATTTTTTAATTTTTTTGCCACGTTTCCTGCCGCGTGCCCCGCCCCAAAAAAAAAAGTATGCAAGCATTAATGCGTTTTATGGCAATGGCAACGCCAACGGCCAATGCGGCGGATGCTTTTAATGTTTCAGGCCAAAAAGTTGCTATCGAGCAGAAAACAAATTAAATAACCTGGTCGTGATATGCATTAAGCGTGGAGGCTGACACTGCCGTGTAGCTGGAATTGGCCAAAAGGAAGTAAAAGGAAGGAAGTTAAGAAGTTAATAGTAACATCATGTGACTAAAGGAGAGACAACGCGAGTGTTAATTTAACGAAAATTTGCATTTGACTTTAAATGGAAAATTAAAATAGCGAAATACACATTTCCTCATATACGAAGCTAATGACAACTTATTTCCCTCATAAACGCAGAAAATGTGGTATGATGTAGGATTTAGAATGTGCTATCGACGTCTTATTAGAGATTTTAGTTGCAGCAGAGAGTAGAGTGGTTTTTAGACCTCAGTTTTGTGGTACAAGCATGAGAGCTCGGTTTATAGTGGCTTTTCAAAGCTTAGGCTATCATTAGAAACTCTTAGTATGCCTTCAAATCTTTTCGAATCGAGTAAGTATGCCTATTTTTTCAATTCTCGTTACATACTTTATATCTTAACAATTAAATAAAAATCTTATATCAGTAAGTTGAAGCAGTAAACTGTTTTGCAGAAAAGGCTTACCTCTGTGACCAATTTTTATAAAATTGAAAAATATTTAAACAAGTTCCTTAAAAGTTATCTCAAAAAAATGTTCGTTGATGGCTATATGGGAGCATTTAATTTAAATACTGGCAATGTAATTAAAGTTGCTATTTCGGTTCGCTCTGTATTTTTTGTCGCAATGAAAAGACAATTAGGAATGGTCGTTTAATAGTGGGGACAGGGGGGACGTGCGTACTTTCAATTAATTGTAGCTTCAGTTTCAACACACTAGCTGCCTTCTTTTAAGCGTTTTCTTTTTTGTTAATGCACCAACTATTATTTTTTCATTCGCTGCCAACACATGGATTAGCGCTGAAATCGATTCCATTTAAGTGAAGGAAGAAGTGGTGATGCAAAGGGCATGGGGGTAGGGGGTTCGTCCTGCGGCTGCCTCTGTGTGCACTTGAGGGTGGCTGTGTGTTCATGTGCCAGCATGAGTGTGTAAGTTTGCCTTTCAAGCATTTTTTAATTAAAGTGTATTGTGTTAATTGCATTAACGCTTGTGTTTGAGCGAAACTATAGTCAATGAAACACTTTTTAAGCATTTTTAAATTGATCTCTATGGCTGTGTGCATATATTTATACACAGAGATACAGTATGTGGGTGTGGAGAGGTACTTAAGTACATCCCCTTGCTGACTCACATAAGTAAGTACTTTCTTCTGTTTGTATTGCTAATATATTATTTAACAAAACAATCCATGGGATCTTAGATTTGAGGCTCGTACGAAATTATTCTGAATTTTTAACTAAAACCAGCCAAGCTCTTCATTAATCACTTTGTGAAAAATAGAAGAATTATTTAATGACATATATCAATAATTACCCCTTGGCCAAGTAAAAATCCAAATGCCAAGCAAGATGGCAATTTAAAGTATATTAAGATGTTGATTTTGAGACAAATCTAACAATATCATCTATTTATTTTTAGATTATAAGAAACTATCAATCTAGCTGATAGTCACCACTAAGACTTCTCTCGCACTTACAGCTTTGTTGCTGTATTTACTTCGGTCTTAGAATCGGGTTGTCTGCTTTAAATGAATCAAAAACAAAATCAGATGAATCTTCCGCATTAATTGGCTTCACAAACCGAAAGTAGTTATATTTTAACGAAATTATTCAGAATAATTTATTGAAATTACCACAATTTCATTTTATAAAGTCTTGGAACCTTTCATGAATGACAAATGATTTTAAAATAAATATAATTTTATTTTTTTAATTCAATATGATTTCGGTTTTAAAGAATTTCCTGCTTTTAATATTTATTATTAACATTATGTATTGGTACATATTTTATACAACTATATTTAAATTGATAATTGAATTTATTAAAAATTATGCATTTGAGAATTTGCTCACAATACTTCGGATGGGTTCATTTATTTGTTATTATAATTCGATTTGCTTTATTTACTTTATAGTCAGAGTATGATTTGATCTTAATTTACACTAGTAATGACATTTCTTTTGGATTAGATTTCAAGTCTATTTAGTGCAGTGGAAGAAGAACAAAAACGCAGCTGCAGCTTTGATGCCGATTTTTCTAACATCTTTTCATCATAGAGTTAAAATTCAAATAAACTCGTGCTTCGTAATGATTAGAAGAATTAACATGAAGCTTTATTATTCATCCAATACATGGCTAGTTAGTTGTCACTCTTAGCTATACACAAAATGAGAAATAAAATCGGTCCCTAATAATATATTTTATTTATGGACCAAATTCCCAAGTATATACATACTTGTATATTATCTTCCACTAAATTGTTATTAAATTGTTGTCAGTTGCTGCGGCAATCCAGATTGTTGATGATTTGAGTTAAAAGAGAGTTGAAAACACACACAAAAATGCAGCTTGCGCTTCTTTAGATCGAATGGTAGCCATTGCTTATGCAAACGTGTCGTATGCGTAATCTCTTTCTAACCTGACTGCCTGGGCTTGTTGTCAGCTGTGCACTTCCGCCTTCGAAGTTATCGAGCGAAATACAAAATACAAAAATAAAAATAAATAAAAATGCATATGCTTGTGACAAGAATAAAATATATGAATTTGCATGCGAGGACGAATAACGCAAAACACACAACGTCGAGCTTATCGAATAGAAAAAATCCATAGCAGTGTCTCAGAGATACATTCGCATATAAAAAGAATATGCAAGTAAATAGAAGTGCATCCACAGTTCATTGACGTTCGATGGGCTTGCGAGTGCATTTCTCATGTATGTTGTTGTGGTTTGACTTTTTCTATTATTATTTCATTTTCCTGTGCCTTGGGTGTGTGTATTTGTGAAGCTTTTTATGTTAAGCGACCTTTCAGGGCAACATACGGTTATTTGACATATATTTTCGTTTTTGCCGCTTGTCTGGCTTTGTGGGTCAAGCTAGATGATCTGAAAAGTGTGGTCGACCATGTGGGTTATGGGGAAATGTCCTTGGCAGGAGTCACATGCAACACAAAGTTGTACATATTATGCAGGCGGACAAACAGACATTTAAATGCACAAATAAACAAACAAACAAACAACCAGTCGCCAAACAGTCAACCAGCAACCTTTCTTGGACCACAAAAACTCATTACTGTTACTGTTACAGGCTCGCCCGGCTCTGTGCGTAGTCGCTGTCTACTATTTCGCAATTAAAACTTTCATTAAAGTAATTAAAATTGCAACTAAATAAACAAAAATACAATCAAAATCTGCCAGGGAATGGGCAAAACGAGCCATGCCAACATTTGACAGAGCTCGGCACAAATGCATTACAGAAAGAAAAAAAAAAACAAAACAGGAAATTGCAAAAAAGTATACGCGGTACCTGCAACAAAGACAAAAGTGTGACAAATATAAACAGCAGTATAAATAAAATGGCAAAAATGTTGTCGGCGGATTGCATCGACTGGGAGGTGGGCGTAGTGGGTGTGGTGGGTGTGTCTAAGAGGCAGACAAAAGCAGTAATAAAATGTGGTAATTGTAAATAAGTGGAAAATGAGTGCGAGGCACAAAGTGGGAAGCGGCTAACATTTTAAATTCAAATTAAACGACTGCCACACAACCGCAAAGGGATTGACATGAAGTTGGTGCTGTTGTTGCAACTGCAACAACAACAACAACAGCACCAGCAGCAGCAGCATTAACAACAACATAAACAACAACAATAGCAACAACATGAACAATAGTCAACCACAGCAGCTCGTTGGCATTGCCATTTCTCGTCTGCTGGCAGCTGCAACTGTTTGTCGCCATTGTTTTTGTTGCAGTTGACAGCGCGCATTTTAACTCTGCCACGCCCCCCCGCTCCCACGCCCCCATGCTCACAGACTGCCAAGCCGCCTAGCTCCACAGCACAATTGTTCTATTTGAGTTTGGCATTTGCATAGCGAGAGACAATAAAAACGGAGAGATAAATACAATGGCAAGTGTAGGAAAAAAGCCACGGTAATTGTGTAATTTTCAATTAATTTGTAGATAATTTGTAAATACGTTTTTGCGGAAACTCAGAAAGCCAAATGCAAGCTGCCATTAGTTAGTTATCAATGACGAAGTGCAGAAGCTCGACGACTAGTGTCATTGTGCTCCGCGAATGTGGTATTGTGTGTTAAATAAATAAGCATGTGCAACTGTAATTGTAAATTAAATTAAATATAAATCCAAAGTCTATCTGTGGAAAGTCTCAATATAGAGAAGATCCACACAAGCCACAAACTTCATATTTATAAAGAATCAAAGCAAGAAATGTCTACTTATAAAAGAAGAGTTATATAAATTATTATTCAAATGGATTGTAGAAAGTGAGAGTCGATTGTTGAAGAACCTATAAAATAATTTGATGATGCAAAAAACTGGAATATTTAAAAAGCTTTTAAATAGGCATGTAATTGAAATAAAAATTGTATTTAGAAAAAAATACATATATAAAGCATTACATATTAAGCCTTTATAAGGCTTCACTTGTCATGAACTGTTTTAATAATTGTCCTTTTAGAACAGATAAATAACAATTGAATAATGAAAAATTTACATTTGAAAAAAGAATTACCCCGACATTATAATTGCAGTTTTCAGACTAATTCCATCGAATTTCATAGAAATTGCATATTAAGTATTAGATTTAGAATTATATTCCTAGCTAAAACACTAGCCATTTCACATTTCGTTCAGTCTTTGTCCTTTCTTCTCTTTTTATTGCCCCTTTCAAATAGTTAGACTAAGTAGTTGGCTGAGGTGAAGTTCTTCCCATAGCCGCTTTTCGGCAAATTCGGTGCAAAAATGTTACATTAAATCCGTTTTTCTGGTGTGCTCTATAAATGGCATTTACTTCCTCCTGGGTTGGAAACTTTCGAAGTGTATATGTAGCTATTGATACTAAGGAGTCTGACATCGAAAGAGTTCTTTTTATGTATTTATGTAAATAGCCAACACTTACGAAAATGGTTATTCTTGGTTTCGTAGCATAAATAGTTGACAGCATAGTTCTTCTTATCGGTAGCCAAATAAGCAATTTTAGTCTCCGTATTCTCTAACTTGTCTTTTAGCGTATGTACGGGATAGGGATGCCTTTGGCAGGTTGGCAGATCCAATGGTTCCTTCATCCAGACCCCGTACAAGTACATGTCGCTATTAATGTCGGTCTATTTATATAAACTGATGTGTCTTTAATGCACCGATTAATGTGAATAGGAATAATATGCACTTACACATGCTACCCCAGTGCGGGGCTCTGGGCATTTACCTTTCCCGAATTCCGCTTTTTGCCCCTCACCGCGTGGTGCCAGGAAAAGTAATGATACGAAAAGGCCCACATTTTTCCATTCTTTGTTTATAGTGGAGTCAAGAAAGTATTTGCAACAGACTGTCCACTGCATAATTGTCTCTTTAAAGTAAGGCTTTGTAAATAACAATGTTTTGCTAGTTAGCTGCGACTAATTATATTAACCAAGTGTAGTTAATATGTAGAGTTTTTTGCAACTGATCGCCAATTTTCCAAGTGCTTTAAAATGATGGATGGATTCTGTTTACTTATTTCAGAGCTATTTGCGACAGCTTTAGATCGATTTCAAATACATTTCAAAGGCTTACCTTTATGACCTATTTCCAAAATTCTGGTTTCACGAATCCGTAGTCAGGCATGAAACTACAACAATTATTATTATTAAAGTATATATAGTGTTTAATGTTTCTTTTCCAAAAATAGAACAACTTTCTTTTTAATTTTTTAAATGAAAATATAAGACATATACAGACATTTTTAAAAATAAGCTGTGCTTTCCATGTTTATTCATAAAAGCATTTTCATCTCTTAAAAATGTTTATAAATTGCGATCGTTATCTTATAATTAATCTATATTAGATTGGAATTTCTTTTATATCCCACATTGTATAAAAAGGGTAATACATATTATATTTTCTATGATCAGGCTATATGCATTTATACCTCTTAAATCGATTTAGGTAAGCTGAACGTTACCCAAAACACTCGTGGTGCCTATGTTTTCTGGAAGCTTAGACTCCAATACAATTTTATACAAGTACTGACCCATTGAATATATTTGTATTTACAACAGATGATCATAAAATTGGATTGAATATAATTTTTTCTATTAAATTAATCACTTTATAATCCTTCTTATCTACAATCTTCGATTAATTGCAGATACCAACATCTGTGAATGGCAGTAAAGCGTATCTGAGAGAGCGAGCGACTAAAAAAGTCGAACAAAATTGACAGTTATTGGCCAATAGATATTTATCAGGCGCACACGAATCGGGCCAAAACCAAACCAACAGACGGAAGTGGCCAGACAAAGAGCAGCATAAATAAATAAAAAGTAGACTATACACAACATATACATATATACAGATATATATATACAGATATTGGCCATGGAAGTGCGGCTGCAGCCAACTAAAAATTGCAAAGCTTCTGAGCAGAAAAATCAAATGCAAATGCCGATGCCGATGGCAGCACAGTTATGTGGGCGTTGGCGTGGGCGTGGCCAGAGTCAGCCAACGAGCTGCATGTGCCTGATGGCCATGATGCTGCTATTGTTACTGGTGCCGGGTAAGTGAATTTAAATGTAATTTCCACAGGCTTACTAGAATGTTCATGTACTACGAAAACATTTCCGATGCAAATCGGAGCTAATTTGCTCAAGATTTGTGCAAAGTCCAGCAATTTAATGACGCAAAGTAAGAGCGAGAGCAAAAACTTTGACGAAATATTTACAAAAGTTTCGTAAGCCCAAAAGCAAATCACAAAACATTCAGCCAAGAGCTACAATAATTAATTTTTAAGCTGCACAACATGATGCGCAGTCCCAGCCTTCAGGGGACTGGGACTGTGGCTATGGCCAAAAGGACAGTTAGAGCGAGTCGGTGCGAGAGGGTGTGCAGAGTTGGGATGGGATGGGATGCCATGGGATAGGAGCCTGGAACGACAGATACGAAATCAATCGTTCGTAAAATAAACAAATCTTATTTTTCCGCAAACATTATTTTTCATCAGTGGTGGCGGCGATGTCGGCAGCCGCAGCAACAACAACAATAATGGCCCAATGACAACATTTTTCATAAATGCGCGCATTCATCTGCATAAAAATAAAGTTGTGGGGTAACGATATGAAATAATAGTACGAGGGCCGTTCAACTAAGTTAAAACAAATGTAAGATTACATGAACAAGAAATAAATAAGAAAAAAGACTTTTATAGTAAGATAATAATTAAGTAATGGTCAGATATACAACTATATAAAGCCAATATTAAATTTGTATAAATCAAAATATTGTTAAACAAAATCATTTATAAATAATAGCAACACAAAGCTAAGCAAGATATATAAAATCTCGTCCAACTGAATCATTTCACTATTATCAATAGAAGATTTTCAAAATTTGTGTTTTGATGGAAAAGTATTTTCATATCAAACCAAAAATTAGTTATTCATAGCAAGGTATGTGCGCCATTTCTTCTTTCCGATTGGGAAATACAATACGACGCCTGATATAGGGCTCAATTGCAGATTCCCCTATTTCTTTTAGAGGATTAGGTAAAATACTAATAATATATATGTACATATATAGACCTTTTAAAGAAAGCTTTTAATGGAACTTCATAAACAATAACTAGTAGGTGGACAATTCCCTTTGCGACTCCAGCTTTTGCAGCCACCATGCAAGGTTCCTTTTTCGGTTCAAAAAGTGGAGTTATTGAGTTTTAAGAGGGAATATTAATTTTGCTTAGAAACATCGGTAATTTCACTCACGAACAGCAAACATCGTTGAGAAGCTTCCTATGAATGGTCAGCATAAATATATGAGCAAGTGACATTTTTATCTATTTGTGTCTGGTTTCAACAAGGGAACTGCATTCACTTAATATTTTACATTTTCACATAAAAATGCTTGACTTTCTTTAAACATTATGCAAAGGCCCGACAAAGGTTATGGCCTGCTGATCTTACATTTTATATTTATCTTAACAATACATTGGTATAGAGTATGTTTTATTTTAAGCATATACATTACACCATGAAGAAGCCTTTACAACAATTTATTTCAAATAAATTTGAAAATAAAGTAACTGAACAGTAACTAAACTTTTCTTATACGATTAATGGACTTATCCTTCAAACCACCCACGTTCAGAGTACGATTCGCATGCCTTTCTATGCGAGTATACTAGACGTGTATTTGTGTATATATAGTATGTATAAATAGACTAAAATGATGATGTAGCAAAAGAAACTAAATTTCCACAAACTGGCATTTCTTGTAGCCGTAGTACTAACAGTTGTTGTTTTTGTTGTTATTGTTGTTCTTGTTCTTGTTATTTTGTGTTTTATGCGCTGCAGAAAAACAAGGCGTGAGAGCAGACAAGTGTAAACAAGCAGCGAAAAAGCAATAGCAATACAACAAAACAATAGTAGCAACTACACCAAAAGCAACAATAACAACAACAACAACAATAATAACAACAACAACAACAGCATTAGCAATGTGGAGAGAGAGAGAGGAATGAACAGCAGAAAAAGTATAGAGAAAATTGCTGCCTAGAATATTTCATAATTTTTTGCGTGATAAAGTCGCATTTCGTGGGATTAAATGAGATTTTCTTGCAATTACCCGTCGAGTGCTTTCCATTCCCATTCCGCCCACCACACCTCCCCCTCAGCCCACAACAACTTTTCCCCCCATGCCATGCTCGGCATTACATTTCACTGCACTTCACAGTTTAGACATTTTGACCATTTTTTCGGCATTACTCAGAGCTTAGGGGAGCCGAAAAAAAAATATATAAGCTGAAGAAAAATGAAAAACAACTAAGCATGTACTGTTCGGCACAACATTTGTGCATATTGATTTAAACTTTACGAACAGAATACAAAAGTTGTATACAGCTGCTGACCACAGGCGATCAATAGTTTCTAATTTATGCTAAACACAAACAACAGGCAACAGAAAAGCCAGAAAACTGCAGAAACGACTTAAAACAAACAATAACTTTCCAATACATGTGAGCCAAGGTGCCTGTAGGCAATGGAACCTACCCGGGTGCTTTGTGGCTGACGAGCACACAGAAAGGTCCTACAAATAAAAGACAACTCAATGCAAGGACTGGCCGAAAGCCTTCACACTCATCGCATCGTTGCAGAAATCTGCTATTGATGCTGGATTTTAATTGCGACTCGCCGACTAGGGGTATGCCAAACTAGTTATAATGCTTGCCACAGAACAGCTTACTTATCGACCGTTTCTATTGACATATGAATTAATAATACTCCTTTTAGAGTAGATGTGCTTAAAGTTGTCAACCAATTAGGCTCTATTTTGCAAAGCTTTTTGCTTACAATCTTTAATATATTGAGTTCAGTTCAGCTAAAATGTCAAAATTCCTAACATTCCTGCTGTAGGTCTCACTAATTTTAATTATTTATTTAATTTATTATTTAATTTATTATAAGACAATGAGAACAGGCCTGAATATAAATGAATAATCGCATTCAAATTAACAATTTTTCGCCATGATTTAGGGTTTAACTAGTCGTATAGATTAGACACAGTGCACTCCTTCTTCAAGAGCAGAAAAAGTACAATAAAATAGCACACATAAGATCTTCAGAACCTAGGGATCTTTGCTAACTAATATACCTACAATTGCATTATTTTTGGGCACCCAATCGCCAGAATTAATATTGAAAAGGGACCATAGTCTTCGACTTTCGTAATATGACTTTTCCCAAATAGTTTTTTGTGCCATGCCTGCCTCAAGTGGACTCGGCATGCCACATGCTACAGCCCTTGCCACAGACATAGACTCGGGTATAAACAAAGGCATGATGTAGGGCTTGGGCTCAATCAGGATGGCAACTATGCTGGCGCATTTTCAATTTTCATGCACAAAAGTCACTGACGACGACGACGACGACGACGAGGACGAGGACGACATGCCTGTTGGGCCCACTTACCGCTTAGCAGAGCAGAGCACAGCAATCTCTCACTAGTGTATTGCACATACGCACTATTGTACGCATTGTTTGCGCAAACACATGCACGCATTTTAAGCCGTGCATTGCTTCCTCTCCACCCATTCCCATTCCCATTCCTCTTCACCCACGCACTCAACTTTGCATTTCACATGAACTTGCACTTTGATGCCGCACTTTTTTCTCCCCCACGCCATGTTCGTTTGAGCTGCTTGGCAAAGCATGTGGATTTGCTACGTGTGAGGGGAGGGGGGAGCTTATTTTGGGGAGGGCTTTACGCCCGGAGCTTAGGTGTGGCGCTTGGCACGTCTTGCAGACATTTGCCGTTTACTGTTTTGAAATTCGAATTGGATGTGCTGCTATGCGGCTGATATGTCCCTTTTCAGCAGCTCGCAGTATGAAGCCAACTACTTAGTCACCGTCATTTCGGTAGTTTCCCAAAAGCGAGAGGGCACACTAATTAATGAACTGGCCGAAACTAGAAAGGAATTACAATAGCTGAAAGGTCTAGGTAACTACTTGTTGAGAACTAATAGACAAACTATATTTCCTGCACATTTCGTTTACATATTGAAAGTGTGTTCTTCATTTCTATTTATAGACGGATTTTATACATTTTTTTTTTTTTTGTATAAGCTTAAAGTTGGTGCCGTTAAAATGTTACAAGAAAACACAAGTAAAGTATTCTCGTATTTAAACCAAATCCAACAGCTTTTTAAATCAAAAACCTTTCTTTTTTTTCGTTTTATAAAAATGACACAGGTACCTAAGAAAAAAAATTAAAAATGAAAATAAGACTATTATTTAGTGAGTTTTTGACTCATTTTTTTCATTGTTCTGTGATATAAATTTTTTGAAAAAATCCTTTTTATGTTGAAAAAATCTTTTTTTAAAAAAAGATAATTGCATTACATTAATATACCTCAATTTTTGCGGGTGAAACAAGTAAAGTAAAAGAATATTATACATCAAAACTGTACTGCAAATTAAAATCAAATTGTATACAATATTACTTAATTATAATCCACTATTTTCTGTAGAGAACTGGTTAAAATTTTGCACCAAAGCGACCGACCATGTCAGATCATCATCATATCATTTATACATACGTACATATGTTTGTTGTTAGGCCAAGTGAGGGGTAACTTAATCGCAGACAATCAGAAGCGCTCACTTCTTAGCTTGTTTTCTAATATATTCAGCAGCATAATCAATCAATCAATAATCAGACAAATAACATATAGTGCATATACCTAAATAAAATAATTATGTCTAAAATTGCATATTTATATTTAGCTCGCATATGAAATAAATACTTGTATGTTGTCGTGTTGCACTTTATTTTTAAATGCATTTCGACTTGGGAAAAGTTGTGCAAGCAACAAATTACTTTCATCATTTAAAACTTATTTAAATGAATTCATTTTACTCTCAACCGAAACTCCTACTTTTTCAATAGCTAAGCTAAAAAATTAAAAACAAAATGTAGCTTTTTATGCCGCCATTTTGGGTGAAGCAATGCGGCTTTTATAAACGCATACATATGCATGAGATCATAAAGTCCATGCGTGTGTGTTTA